TACATTTTGGTCCCCATTGACATTTATCAACATATTTTCTCAAGTTTTTCACTATCAAAAAAATTCCTATAGGTTTGGATTGAGATGAGGGTGAGTAAATGATGAACAGAATTTTCATTTTTGGGTGAACCGTCAGTCTGTAACTTTTTTGGGTTAAAAATTATACATATTATACATATCAGCAAGTACATAACCAGCCAGTGTTCAAAACTCTCTGCTTTCCTTAGCTCGATTAAAAACGGTAAGCTTGTAATAATGTTTTTAATTCTAGTGGTACTGGTGGATTTCCGCGGGAAATTCGAGCATGTCTTTGCGTCATTACGTCACATCTGTACACATAAAGACTGTGTCTCGGCTAGTAGGCTATGTTATCAGTTTGATCGTGGATCCAGAAAGGTTCAAACGACAATCACCAGTGACAACTGGACAAAATGCAAAAGACTTTTGGACTTCGGAGTGGCTACAGAAAAAAAGAGACTGCATCCGGGCCCATGCTAAAACAAGGATAAATTTAAATGCTTTTTTCCCCTTAGTTGGTCAGAATCAGAACAAAAGTGGATTCTTATGTTGGTCATACTTCCAAAAAGTAGAATCTGTGATTCTGAATGCCAGTATCCACACCGGCGCGGTGACTGACAGCCGCACACTCTCCTCAAAACATCGCATTCATCCGCGCTGTGCCGTGCCGAGGCACAACCCACGTAAAGTTGATAATTGACCGTTCGCAGGCCCCTCCCCCAAAACGGCTATTGTCCAATCACACATCATAGCAACCGTTACTATGTGAGCAGGTCCGTCAAACATTGACTCCAAGCAAGATGGTGAAGCGGTGCGCCCACGGCGTTTGTAAATCGGACACTAGATACCCCGAGAGATTGTCTGGAGGAGTTGTGTTCTTTTCGTTTCAAAAGCCGAAAACACAACGTGCGCTGTCCCTACAATGGATAAAAACAGTGTGGACGGCCCCACTCCCAGTTAAATGTGTCGAACATGGTTAACTCGTGTGCAGCGTGCGTGAGACTGAGACAATGAGATTAGTCAAAGACACATGGAGAAAGCAGATCAAGAGGATCCACAAAGGAATTACGTTTTCTAAAGTGTCGTTGTTAACATGATATTTTCGGGGGGGAATGAGCAGCAGTCACTAGCAGTGTAGGCAGCACCTGTAGACTACAGTTTAGACTAACGTTAGAGGAGTGCACGTTCGCAACGGGGAACGCATGAAGCTTACTTGACAACATCAGTTCATATCAATATCGTAACGAATAGAAATAATGTATGGTTATCTGCATCTTTCCGTCTATTATGTATAGTTACTTTTTAAACACGAAAATCGCATTTAGCATGACACGCAAGCGGTTGCCGTGGTAATGAACAACCTGCTTGTTAAAGCGAATGAATAATCCTGTATCTGAGGCAAAATTACTAAATATGCAGCGCGAGTTATATATTTCTAACTCCAAACAATTAGCCACTGAAACAGCTTATAGAATCTTCTTCAAGGCTGTGCTGGTTGCATTTGAGGTAACGTTACAGGTCATGGGGTTTCTCAGATTTCGCTTGAGACCGGTTTGAGAGCTTGAGAGCATTATTAGCCTCGATGGTAGGCGTGTCTCCTTCATTGCGTATTTTTATATTTTGAATATATCCCTCCACTGCATACTGTAACGTTAACCCCTTTTGCCTCGATCTGGAGGATATCGCGGAGGTATTGCTCCAAAAAAGGTCACTGACGCACCTCTTCCCGTCATGGCAATCTGTGGCGCTGGTCGTGTTTGACCATTTGTTTGACGGGCGTAGCAACAATAACTAGGGGGCGTGGCTTTTGCGAACGGTCAATTACGCGAATAACTGCAATTGCAGATTTCGGACAGAGATGGCGACAAAGAGGAAAAACTACGGACTGCACCTTTAAGATTTGTCGTTGTTCTATTTTTAACTTGACACGCCATCTTAAAAGTGCAACGCCATTGGTGGGATGTTCAAAAAAAAACTGTGACGCAAAAACTGTGACCAAAAGGCCAATTTTAAGTGGATAAATTAAAAGACGCAATATTTTTTGAGAATTCTAATTAAATTGTAACTCTAATGGCCGTTCACACCAAGGATGATAACTATAACAATAACTATATTAGTGTCCACATAAACGAACGATATTCTGTTTTTTTATAAGTGCGTGCTGTAGTCATCTGCCACTTTAAACAATTCGCTCTTTAAAGTCGGGTGTATTCTGATTCGCTGTCAATGTTTTTATTGTTCATCAGCTGGAAAACAACTCATTCTGAAAGTAATTTCAATGATATTGTTCTTCCGTGTCGTTATTATTATATCTGTGATGTGGACATGTAAAATAATTATTAAAACTTAAGAGAGTTAGTTATTGGTATAGTTATTGTCCTTTGTTAAAATCAAGATAAACTAGTCAACATCGCTAACCAAGTAGTTGGTTGTTGGACAACTAATCGATTAGTCGACTGACATCACTCATCCCTGATAGACTAGTAAAACAGGTTATTTATTTTTTTAGTTTCTTTCTTCTTTAGAGTTTCTCTTATACTGAGGTTCTCTCTCTTTTGAAGTGTGAAGTTTTGTAAATTACAGGGAGAATGTGTGGTGTGTTGAGAGCCACCTCTCTCGCTCTCTCCGATTAAACCATCACACTCAGGCTCTCTTTAATCTTCAAATGTCCAAACCACCAGCCATGCTTTTGTTGATGCTAATTCAAAACTCATGAATCTCTCAGATTTCCAAGATATTACAGTAAAAGTAATTATAGCATGTACTTCTGGTTCGGCCGGCTGGTAATGCACAAGATCAGGGAGTATTCTCATGAAACAAAACCTTCACATGCGATATATCCGCATAGAGCTCAACAAAAACACAAAGGACAAACTCAGATGTAGTGTGCTGAATGTACAAATACAGTATTCGGTAAGTGTTTCCATGATGTGCCAGAAGTGGAAAACTACAGATTGCAGTGAGTGTAATTGTGGGCCAAGCCAAAAGTGCACACATGACTGTGCTGGAAGTGATTACAGTTGAGTTCATCTCCAAGTCAGGAAGATGATGTTTAAGAGGCCAAGCATTTAGCAGTTTGCAGCATGCACAAATTTTATCACTCTCTTTCAGCAGTACTTTTTTTTTTTTTTTTTGCAATGCCAGCATTTAGTACACAAACACACACACAAAACAGTCAGTTACAACTGCAGTCACACACTTGTACACACACATTTAGTTATCCAAATGGGGACTTACAATAGATGACAGTTTATTACTCTTATGTAAAGTTAAATATAATCACTACTAACTACTTTTAATGACAAATTAAAAGTTTAACTTTTTTAGTTACCGTAAAAAAAACTTTTGTTACTTTTTTATTTATAATATTTTATCCTGCATTAAAGTAGTACACTTATTTTGATGTGTGAAGTACTTGATTATAATTTTATGTCCAAAAAGCACTAATTGATTTAATACATTAATACATTTTCATTCAATTGCAAATAACAAGCAATTAATAGACCAACAACGTTATTCAGCTCGCACTAAAGTATATATTTTTAAAGTATTATTTCTGTAATAAGTACCTTTTTTTTTTTAAAGTGTGCTGAAGTGTTCATTTTCTCATTTTCACAAGGGTCCAACACTTTCTACACACACATTAACACATTGCAAAGTGCAGCCTGCTCAAATTTGACAGGAAACACATGCTAGTTCTACAATAGGCAGCACTGTGTTCACTGTATTTCCCCGGTTAGCGTAGCCACTAAGCCAAACATGACTTGAATACACAAGTTTGTAGTTAGCAATCAATCTGTGTGATCATTCAGTTGAGATTTGTATTGTTTTAACACTTCATGCTTTACCCCAAAGTTGTAAAGCACACACACGTTTGATGTTGTTGCGCTCTTGGCTGTTTATGTGAGCAGTTGGCTGCACATGGGCATGTTTTTTTTTTGTGTGTCTTTCCTTGATTTCTAGTGTAATGTTTATAATGAGATTGCGATTAGCCACAGAGCTTTTGCGCAAGCCGTTTTCTTTAACATGAAACGTAATGTGTGGTGCTAATGCTAAACACAGTGACTCTGAGGACTGTTGCATGTGATTTGGGATAATCACTCTCTCTTAAGCTATGGGATCAACATTTGTCATTCAGCAATCTTCTACCACAAAATGTAAAAGCTGGCCTGACATCATTGCCAGCTTGTAAGTGTTCTCTTCTAAGACAGCAGATGTTTTGGTTTAGCCTAAGTGCCATTCCTAAATTGGCGTGGCTTATGTGTTTTCTCATTTCCTTTTCTTCATAGGTTTTCAATCATGTGTTGATCTTTAGCTTTTGGGTTGATGTTTTTTATGGATGATGAGAGAATGTTTTAATTGTATTTAATGTGGCCAGCATTCATTATTATTTTTTCATTTCCAAACCACAAATAGATTCACTGTGTGAAGTTTTTTCACAGGCCCATTTTTAAAAATGCAGTGACATTGATTAACAGGGCCAGTTTTCTTTCCTGCATTGATGTATTTCTTCTTTAAACAGTATGTTTGAAGTTGCCAGTGAAGTTGATTCTCATTCCATAGAGCATCTGATTGGACAAAATCCTTGTAGTGCAGGATCAAGTCATCAATATATTTGGTCTGTTTTCCTGGAAGATAAATGCTGTTAATTTTAAATGTGCATATCTGCTAAAAGTAAATTTGTCTACATTTTTACAATTAGCAAATCTATCCAAAGTAACATTAATTGACATAATGAATGAACTCAATTGCCATGGTTTTGAACTGCATAATGTTAGCATTATGGTAAAACTATAGTAATCTTTGAAGTATTTTGGGATATCATAAGCAATACCATTGTAAATGAATATGGCAATCCCATTTTCTTCATGTTTACCCCTGCTTGAATTGTTGTGTTGTCAGAGACTTAAACTACCTCTTGTCAGAACTCCTCGGGTTGAACAGACCAATCATTTGCTTTTTTTTGTGGTTGGTCTTCCCAGGTCAGTGCACCTAAATTTCCCCAGGCTCGGGCTCCGAGATCCCAGCCGTCGCCATGGATCCCAGCAGCTGGAGTGGCAGTGAAAGTGCCGGGGAGGATATCGAGAGGATGAGCGACTCGGCCGATAAGCCCATGGACAACGACGCAGAGGGTGTGTGGAGCCCTGACATTGAGCAGAGCTTCCAGGAGGCCCTGGCCATCTACCCACCCTGCGGCCGACGGAAAATCATCCTGTCCGATGAGGGGAAAATGTATGGTGAGTCAAAAAAGCTTGGTTTGATTGCTAGGTCAGAACTCGAGTTTGAATCTTGAGATCGCATGAACCAGACCACCGTTTCTAAGTATGGATTGAACCAACCAAATGAGCCAAAATGTGACATCAAATTGACTTTCAGTCGCTTTAAATGCTCTAGTGTTGAATACACCTTTAATATGTTGAGGTTATACATCTTAACACAATTTACAATCAACCCTTTTTCTCAATCTCAGTATTTTGACTGGCTATGTGGAGTTATGACTGCCGTTGGGGGTTGTTTTGACTGCTTGTAATCGTGTGTTGTTTGTTGAGGTTGGCTCATCAGAAAGTTCTCAGGGAAGTTGTTAGTTGTTTGTCCTCAGGGTGAGATGATGATGTCTGTCGGGCCTCTGAAACTGGAAAACGTAACTCCAGCGGGCCAGGCGGTGGAGCGGGTTGTCTGTCCTGGGTTCTGTTTGTAAAGTCAGCGTGAACCATTAGTTAGGAGCAGATGGTCGTGCGGCTGACACCAGCTGCGCTCCCAATCCCCCCCACCTCATTCCCCAAAGCCACCCCCTCCTCCAACGCCTCCCTCAAACTCTCGGCTGGGGTGATGTCATGGAAAGAGGGAATACTGCTTTTCTTTTCTCGTAGGATATTAAACATGCTCTTGGCCTTGTCCACAGTGAAGCCTCCTCACTCTGCTTGGACTTGTATCCAGCTGTCTTTATTAGGAACAACTCGGAAACCAAACAGTTGTTAAATCTGGATGCATGATGGAAAAGGTGGACAAGTTTATAAATCATAAAGCCGCTGTTTTTTTTCCGTGGTAGAATAGCAGTGCACACGGTTGCTGCTCCCATGGGGATGTAGTTTTGAATCCAACTTGCCAATTTCTGCCTTTTTCCAATTTCCTATTCTTTTAAAACATTTACATGTATGCAATTGGCGCACGCTTATTTCCAAAGTGACTTTGGATTCAGGGTGTTTAAGTCATGCATTAATTCCTTGGGAATCTGACCCATGACCTTGATTTTGCGAATTGAATGCTCTGCTTTTTGAAACTTGTCCTGTGAAATCTTGGTAAGACTTTATTTTCAGGCTTATACTTTTTAACATTACCTAATGCATTACCTAAAAATTAGCAATATTTGACCCGGTGAAACTTATTTTTCAGAAAATATTATAAAAATTAGTTTTAACTTTTGTTTGTGTTTTAACTAATGTTGACAAATTGAACTTTACTAGAAAATTTGCAAAGTTAAATGGATTGAGGTCTCTCAATAGGCACCTGTTTGTTCCCATGGCCACAGTCGTTTTTTCCTTCAAGCATTTCCTTCTAAATAAATTGGCTGTTGTTGGTGGGGGGGTTCTTGGGTCGCTGAGGCAAACCTGTCACCTCCTACACTGGTGTCCGTGTAACATTCCTTAGCCTTGTGCTTTACGTCACCTTCATTATTTCATGGTCCATAACAACTGCTTGAGATTTATTTTATGTACCCAACCCATCACAGATCCATACAAGTCAAGATCCTAGTCCCCAGTCCTGCCGCTCTCAGGTCTGCAAGCGCTGTGTGGTTAATTAGCAGCCATCCCTATAGCAACCGCCTTTCACTTCAAAACAATATGTAGCTTTTTTTCCTTGTGTCGTGGCTCAGCTTATCTCACTGTTTACCTGAGGGGGCTCTTTACAGCATCATGGAAGCACTAAAACTGGAGTCAAGCCAAAGAATCAGAGTTTTCACTTTAGATGGTTCGTAATGCTGTGGCGGCTGCCGTTTGGTTTTACAGGTGAACCAAGCACTTCTTTTTTCCACATAATCCTAATCCTTCCCCTCACAGACGTCCTTTTCGACTGTTGGTGCATGATTTTTTTTCCCAACATTGTAAAATTAGTGTGCCCTCTCTATCGCCTCTGATATTATGAACCATTCGGCTCTGCTTTGCTAGGCTTATTTGAGGCAGAGAAAACATGCCATAAGTAGATTTGACAGTCCCCCGCTGGGTTCAATGAAAGAAAGATCTAATCTCAGTGGTTTCACTTCTGAGGGGATATACTGTGAGGACTTAACATAGTCTCAGCCAATTAATATTTCTAAGGTGGATATCCATATCCACCTATACTTGAGAAATTTATTGTAGCTTTTTTAAGCACAATTGACATACCTGGCCATTCTGTGATCAAATATTTTCATATATTGACTGTCGTCCCATAGCTGTGGTAATTTCATGCCAATAGTTTTTTTCTTCTCACAAAGTAAACTTATTCTAACTTAAATTTCATTTTATTTTATTATTTATTTTAGTTTAGTTTAGTTTACTTTAGTTTAGCACCAGCACTGTGCATCATCATTGATTTGCTTCCGTATGCCTGTTTTCATTTTGAAAATGTAATTTTTAAGTATTTACTCGTGTGCAATGCACAGCTAAAATATTTCCTGTCAGATGTTATAACAACATTTATCACATTTAGCAGAAGTTTGTAAAAATATTATGATTGAGAATATATGTAAATCTGCTTTAATGTGTTTGTCTTATGTTCGTAAATAAATATAAGTCCTAAAATACCTATTATTGCTATTCAGTCTTTGACAGACATTTCGGTAGCGTATTTCGTTGGTTGTAAAATACCTTCAATTTACTTTAATTTAAAGGACATTTTGAGTGCAGCTCTATTCATGCAAACAGAGCCTGAAACGTTATTAATTTTACCTTACAGCACCATGTCTTTCTGCATTTTATAATAGCAAATTGTGAGTGTAAAATAATGAATAGACTGGTGTGCTCAGGCAGTGTTGGGCTTTGTGAACATAATGTGTGCCTCGGAGGATTGGAAATTGGAAAGCTGTGTCTTTAACAATAGGATAACAGACCCGCTCCGAGACTGTGGTGCCAGTTTGGGCTACATTACGCTCCGCAGGGGAAACTAGTGGTTATGGGAGTCAGAATCACTCTGTTCTGGCTAACTATATGCTGTTGAATCTCTGTCAGCAGCAGAAGTACACAAGGCGAACCAAATACACAAATCACTCTCAAATCAATCCACTCTTTTCTTAAGATTTATTTTCAAAGATGAAAGACAAGCAATGAACATACATTTTTATTTATTTATAGGAACTAACAGTGGTCAGTTGTTGAGATTGGTCAACAACTGGTTTGTCCACTGGTTTTTTACATCATCGCTAATAGGGACAGTTAAAGGGTTAGCTCACCCCAAAGTGTAATTTATACATAATTTACTCGCCCGCAAGCCATCCTAGGTGTATATGACTTTCTTCTTTCAGCCAAACACAATCAGATTTATAAATATCCTGGATTTTCCAAGCTTTATAATGGGAGTGAATAGTACCCTAGAATAGAAGCCCAAAAAAGCGCATCCATCCATCTTATAAGTAAATCCATACGGCTCCAGGGGGTTCATAAAAGCCTTCTGAAGCAACTCTATGCGTTTTTGTAAGAAAAATATTCAAATTTATAACTTTATAAACTATAATCACTGGGTTCTGGTAACAGCCGTACGTGAGTTTAGTTCCGGGGGAAGAGTGACCTCTGACCTGACGTATTCACAAACACGGAAACGCAGAGGATAGAGCAAGACAAAACTCCGGTCACAAATTAGAAGTCTAAAACTAGTATTTTTAAAGAGAAATGTTGGAGGATTTCGATATAATAGAAGAGGAGCTTGAGTTTGTTGCCCAGCCCTATTTGTTTGAACCGCAAGAGGCGTCTACTCTCACTTAAGCTTACGCTACTCCTACATCCTACATCATACGTCGGGTCAAAGCCACGGTCACTCTTCCGCCAGAACTCTACTTGTATACGGCCGTTACTGGAAGCCAGTGATAATATTTTGTAATATAACTCTTGTTTGTGTTTGGTGGAAAGACGAAAGTCATATACACCTTGGATGGTTTGAGGGTGAGAAAATGATGGGGTGATTTTCATTTTTGTGTGAACTATCCCTTTAAGTTGATTAGAAAAGAGAGGAGTAAATTGAGGAACGAGAAATGTTGTGAGCCAGATTCAAACTTTCTTTGTCCACGTGAGCAGCACCACAGCTCAACAGCTAGATTTGATCTCCTAGTGATTCAAAATCATTATTAAAATGACAAAACGAGATGGTGTAATACACCCATAAGTGCTCACTCACTGTACTTACACAGCCGATTATGTTTTAAGTCCTTACAAAATCCCGCCACACCTCTACCTACGGGTATGTTTAGAGTCACACAGAAAGACTTCCTTACATAATGATAAAGGTACAGGAAGCTTGTCGATGTGAGATGTAGTGTGATGGAAAAGGAGGGATTCAGGTGGGAGACTCAGGTGGGAGGCAGTTGCTATCTGAAAGAAGTGTTTGTAAAATCACACAGGACATTGCTTTTGTGTTCAGAGCTGTATTGTGCTCCAGAGGAGGTCCCTCGATGTGGGCCGCTTTAAAAAAACTCTTTACTTTTCAAGGTCTACCAAAGAACTATGTATATTCCCACTCTAAACCTGCACTTTGCTTCTTTTGTGTTGCATAAAATGGGGCCGAAGAGTAATTTTGCCCGTTTCCCAGAGGTACAGAGTTTAATCATGTTTCTCAAGGGATGGCATGTGAATTTGAAAAAGGGGTTTTTGTGCAAGGTGGGACTGATGCCCGGAAGACCGTATGGACACAAGAAATGAGTCCTGTGTGAACCGCATTAATGTTCTCATTTGGCTTTGATAGGTGTGAGAGGCCTGGATGTTACCTCACCGAGAGCCAGTTAGGAGACAGGTCACAGCATGCTTCAGCCTCACACCTCTTAACTGTTTGAGACGGATGAGTGATTGAAACAGACACCGATATCATGTTACAGAGAGTCCTTGAGCCGTATAGTGCATGTTATTTTTGTTTGGTGGCAGCTGTAAAGAAGCTTGTGTTCCTCATTACTGTATTCTATTCTTTCCTGCCCTGAAATTCAAAAAGTTCTCAAGCGTGAACGATTTTTTTAAATATTTTCACTTATTTGTCTGTTGTCAGACAAGGAAAACTA